GCAACGCTCGAGTTTCAAACATACGGGTAACTAGCTGTACTGAACTTTCTGTGTAAATTGAGGGCGCCGTTGCAAACGATGGCGCTTAGGCGAAATTTGATTGGCTAAATCTATGGCAGCCATCTTGGATGGTAAACACACACAGCTCTGCGTATTTCGAACATCGAATACATTGCAGTTAGCGCTCAAGTATTCTTATTATACCTCCATGGAAATTGTCAAAAATGCAAAGTAGTCAAAAACAAAAACCAGCTGATCACACGTACGCTTCATGATCACACGATTTTTGTGCACTCAGCTCTCACACTGCGGTACGGGTGCAGAAGGAAATCAAGTAGACCGAACTTAATAAAAAAACATTAAAATTGTCTGTAATCATGATTTATATGGGACAATTTATTAGTATACACTTTTCGGTATTTCTAGTACTGAAATGAATTTACAAATTTGAGCAGTACGGGGTAAGTTGAAGCGGTTTTGTGCACCTAGTTCCCAAGGCTAAGCTTCCCAATTTTGACGAAATTTACACGGCACCTAACCCATTGTTCGTCCGTCCAACATCACGAGAGGTTTGACAATTAGTACTGTATTGTGAAATTTCTGTCGTTGTAATTGTGCAGTTGATAAGGATAAATTATTGATTTGTGTAACTGGTTAATTTGTAATTAACTTCTTCGATTTCTCTTTCATAAAATAATTCGTCTTTTACGTTAACAGCTATTTTCCAGACTTGATTTTCGTCTAGGCCTAGCGTAGGCCTCTGCATTATCTGGTCAAGAAGCATACATACAGTAACTGTTTCACATTCACCAGGAATTCTACTCATCATATACCAAAATGGGACGTTATAGTGGAAAATCGTGCCGCCTTATATGTATGATGGTTATGACTAGCACATTTTTTGTAGCAGAAATCACTATAGGCTACGTTACAGGTTCCATGGCTCTTGTTGCCGACTCATTCCATATGATCCCAGATATTGTGTCATTAATAGTTGAATTTGTTGCCATAAAGGTGAAAATAAAGATAAAGTATAAATTGATTTTTAATTTCCTTGCAAAATTTCTTTTGGTGTAAAATAGCGCCTATGTCTAAGCATTTACTTCAGGGGTTTATTTAAGAATTTGAGTACCAGGAGAAATTTGAAAGTAACAGGAGAGTAAATTGAAATAGGCTGGGGTATAGGAGGCCGCCTAGGCCCCCATCGCGGTCCAGGGGCAGAGCCCTGGTCGGGGGTCAAGGGGGCGGAAGTGTCATTGCGCTCCAGGGTTTTAGAGTTTTTTAAGCCCATTTGATGGCATTTCTCTACATCATTTTTTTAAAACAGTTTTTCAGAATCAATTACTGAGCTCTAAAAAAGTTGATATTTTTACATATTCTTCATACATAGGCCTACCTAGTCTAAATACTGTAAACCAGAAACTTTCGCGAATTGATAATTTCGGCCGTTTTCGCGACATTAAACTTTCGCGAATCTCAAAAAGCCTAAATTTAATTCATGAGAGGAATATCATACAATAGCTGAAAATATCGTATCATGAGTTTAGGCCTAGGTTAGATAGGCCTACAACCACTGTGTAGGCTACAGTATCTAGGCCTAGGCAGGCTAAGGCGCCATAAGCCTGCCAGGACTTAGCTGGCTATCCCAGGCACAGATAAGAGAGACAAGTTTACACACATACAGTACTCACTCATATGATATTCCTTAATTTTGTATGGTATTCAAGCATCCTACAAAATGAACAATGTTTATCAATGTTTTATTAACAAACTATTTTCCTGTAGGCCTAATATCGATTCAAATACATTGATTGATGATAATTGAACATCGTGGTATGTCATATGGTACGGAAAATTAGTTTCCCATTTGAACTTCTTAGCATACACTGCACAGTGGTTGCACTTGTGCAATCACATGCAGTGATGATCAGAACCTCCTTGATTAGTATACTTACTGAGTAGGGTAGAATAGGCCTAGAATTTACGAATTTTTCGAGCTCAACATCGGAATTTAAGGTCAGAATATTGATTCAATAATTGAAATACATTCTTTTTTAAGTTTATACACATTTAATAAAATCCACCAACAAAAATTGAAAATACAATTTTTATAATGATGAAGTTGTTTACTTTTCACAAACATGTTGGAATTTGTGGGGATTCACCATTTAGGCCTATGCCCTAGATCTGCGTTGAAGAAAACATCTAAAGGAGAGCAAAAAATAGTTCTAAAATGTACGCAGATATCGAAAAGGAATGGATACCACATTGGAAAAAAAATGTCTCATGTGATGTGAATTGAGACGATTTTGGCTTGCTCTGCCGTTTTAATCATTGTACTATCTATGACTCTGAGTGTAAACAGCATTCAATATAGTTGGGTTCGGCTTGCTACCTCCGCCACCGAATGTAAACGAATTTGAGCCAGTGTTGGTGTTTTTTTTTTTAATTATTATTTATCATTTCCGAAATATCTATGTCATCACAAAGAGAACTAGTAAAATAAAAATGAAAATAAAAGGTTCATAGTCATACACAAATTAATTTTAAAACGACGGGTTTTTTTTTATCTTCTCCGCGGTAAGAAAACCCGGAAGCCCAATGTACAGTAAAAGAGTTTGGGCGATGTATATCGTCATCACCTGAGCATGTGGTGGAGGAGAAATTTCTATTATCTTATTGGCTAACATGTGATTTGGAGGCGTGGCTTCTTTGATGGGCTCACCCAGACGTGACTGCCGAACTTTGAACTTTAACTTTGTTTACGCCGCGAGTTCATGAAATGGAGTCTGAAAATTGGTAGACATTTTAACGAACTTTCAACAGAAAGGAACATCGAAATGAGTGCATACTATTGCAAATATTCACTTTGTGGAGGGTGATTGGAGGTTTTATGTTGATCCTGCTATGAGCTTATTTATATGTGTCATTATTCTTGCCACGTCTGTTCCATTGTGTAAGTAGTTACAGATGTGTATAAGAGACAGATATATACGTATACATGTCATTCCTGAAGTAATATGAAACAAAAGCTAAAAGTAGTCAATCAATACAATTTTTGTTTGTCAATAAAATTTCATAATTGCTTAATAGCACCAGTGATGAATACAGTAAAACTTGCCTAAGTCGACTTTGCTGAACTCGTAAAATTTCTCTAAGTCAATTTTATTTTACATGCTAAATTGTTGTGTTTTCTTTTGGTTAATGATATGTAAAGTAAAATTTCATCCAAATTTCAATGCCATTTTGGATTCGACTTCAAGTTCAACTGTAAATTTCACATTTAACAGTACCAAATTTATTTAAAAAAATTAAAAACATCATCCTCATTATCATATTTGTCATCAATTGGTATTGTTGTTAATTTGTTTTTATTATTATGATGATGCTTATTATTATTATTATTGAGAATAAATTTTCAAAACAAAATGATATAGTTCTTCAAACATACAATTCCCAAACAATTTCAGAATTTCAATCATTAAGGATAAAAAAAAAGAAAAGATAAATCGCTTGTTTCTTATTTTAGGCCATGGACATAGTCATGGTGGTGGGGGCCATGGACACAGCCATGGTGGTGGGGAAAATTCCCCCAGCCATGGCAATAATGGTAAATCAACCAAGGATGCACCCAATGTTGAATATAAAGGACTTAAAGACGATAACAATGAAGAATCTGCAAAAAGCCTCTTGAAGAAAGAAAACGGCTCTAACTTCAATTGTGATGTAACGGATCAAGCAATTGTCAAAGTTGAAGACGGGGAGGAAGACCTAGAGGCTACAATTGGTAAGGAATTTGTATCAATATTAAGTACACAAATTAAAACACAGGTCATATCCAGGATCACCATTTGGTGTTGAGGGGGGGGGGGTGGTAGTGTGCAAAAATATCCAAAATAAACAAAAAAAATTTTACCTCATTGACATGGTCCAAGCCATGTATTAAAAGATAATTGAAAATTATAGTCCAAACTATGTTATCTCATTTTATTTTATTTATTATTTTATTCATTTTGGCAAGAAACGATTTTATTCATTTTCATTTACTTATTTAACCAACATTTACAATTACAGTGACAATTAAATACAATATGTAAGAATAACAAAAATTGAAATGCTGAGCAGGGGTAGCTTAAGCAAAGACATTGCTATAACTCAGATGAGCCAGCTACCTCTTAAAATTATTAAATATAACAAAGATATATATACATTGTGTATATAGAAAACTACAATCTAGGCGTATTTAAAATATCATACAGTATTTATGTATTTTTGTACACCTAAATGTAAAGCACCTTTGAACATAAATATTAATGAAAGGGGCGCTATGTAAATTTCGTAGATAAATAAATAAATACAAGAAATAACCCAAATCAATCCAAAAAAGAAATAGTCATATATTTAAATTAATACATTATGATCTAAAAACTATTATACATTGTATGTTGATTTTGAATATTTGTTAGGAAAGCACACCATAGCTTTATGTTTTTATTAATGTTTTGATTCAGTAACATATGTTTTACCTGCAAGACTTTTTTTTATAAATAAAAGTTTTTTTAAATTTACGCCCGCCGCTGCATTGAAATCTCCAAAAATAAAAATAGCCGGTTTCTATTCCTACTTATAAAAATTTAAAGCATTTAATCATCCCATTACTACAGTGTTTTCAATATTTTTCATTAATACAATTTTAATTTATATTTTTTCCTCCCTATGGATATTTTTGGCAAAACTATTTGCTAAATAAAAACAAAATTTAGGTTTTATTTTTTCCGCCCTCCTCTGACGAAATTAAAAAAAAAGTTCTTGAAACAAGGTTTACAAACAGTCTTGCATTAACATTAAATTATTTTTGTTTATCTAGCATCTGATTCACAGTTGAATATGCGTGGTGTGTTCTTACATGTACTTGGAGATGCTTTAAGCTCCGTGGTTGCCATCATCAGCGCATTGATTATTCACTTTGTGGAGGGTGATTGGAGGTTTTATGTTGATCCTGCTATGAGCTTATTTATATGTGTCATTATTCTTGCCACGTCTGTTCCATTGTGTAAGTAGTTACTATATTTGGGCTCTTTTGAACTTGATCTCACTTTGAAATTACACTTTGAAAGTAAATACTCCCTTGAGCCCACCGGGACAATGGAGGCTGCCAAAAATAGTAACATACCAACTTGCACTACGCATGAATAAGTCTTTTATTGCATTACGCTTTTATCTTAAATGAAAGACCTTAAAGTGTAGATAATGGAAGCAACACTCTGTTATTATTTATTCATACTTTATATTTGTTCTATTGAGACTTAGGGAACGGAGTTATCTTCAGGTTTAGTAAGCTGCTCAGGGAACATTTTTATAACCTTTATTGACTGTCCATTAGCTTGCTTGGCCATGTCTGGATACAGAGTCTTCTGAGTGTCTTGTCATATATTGTATCCAATTTTAATAATGTATATTAAAATTTATCTTTAAAAAAAAAACACATGAATATTTAATAATGATGGTTATAATGATGGTAACTGAAATGTTAATTATTTTCTATATTGTAATTTAAATTTATATCTATTCTGCTTTTTCTTTTTGTTTTTATTGTTTTCTGATTCCCCACATTGCAGAAAGAGCCACATTGACAGTAATTTATTTTACTTTTTTGAGAATTCGAGAACAGCATTTTTTGTATTTTAAGTGTTTCCGCTTGCTTTCTATATGTTTCATACAGCGAAATACATGAAATGAAAAAAAGCAAAAACATAATAAATGATAATTGATGTTATATTGAATCATATGATATATCATGTATCATCGTCATCATCAATTATATTTAATTATGTATGAATTTACTAATTATTTTTTGTAATCATTTTGAGCAAAAGAATTTCTTGAACTGTGGCATCACCCCTTTCGAAACACGTCAAAAGTTTTTCCTTTTCATTTGCCCTTGCAAAATCGCCTAATCACCCGAACACCGTCTTTATTATCTTCCTTTACACAGTCAAGCGAGATTTTCTCGCTTTCTTAACACATTTCACCCTTTCTCAATTAGTTTGTCATACCCTCTTAGGCTTGATCTCACCCTCTCTTCTTCGTGTGATATCAAAACTGCTTTAACCATATCGCATTTGGCCCTTCAAACAAATTAATTAGGTACCAGGGGTCTAGACCCACCCTCCGCTATTTCTAATTCCTGGATCCGCCACTGTATGGTAAATCATGGCTACAATATGACAGTAAAAATCACTTGTAAACTGGGGGTCTTTGTGGGCACCGCGTATACAATATCCAGATGGTAAATAAACATCAGATGCACGTGTGAACAGGCATTAAACAATTTTTTTTTTTCAAAATTTTTTTCAGTGAAGCAATCAGCTATGAGTCTAATGCAGTCCATTCCATCTCATGTGGATGTTGAAAATATTACAAGCTTGTTAAAGGAGCAGGTAAGTTTCTACTAAAATATGTGGTCAGTAAATATAGTATTGTAGCCCTATACAGGGTTACAGTATGTATGAGGGTATAAGCAACATACACATTGTCATACCCAACCAATTGTTATTAATAATTTTAAATTTATCATATTTAGTTTCCCAATATCAGTCTGCACGATTTTCATGTGTGGCAGTTGATGTCAAATTTGACGATAGCGACAGCGCACATAATTGTCACCGGTGATGTTGATAATTACATGGCAATGTCAGAGAGTCTTAAGGAGTTCTTCCACAAACGAGGAATTCATTCTACTACAATTCAGCCAGAGTTTGTGGTGAGTTTTGTCTTTTTAAAAGTTTCAAACAAAAAGATTGCTAGTACTGTATTTATTCTGATAAACTTGATTTTAATGTAAGAGAGAACAACCCCAATATACAATGGACCCCTCCACCCCTAATTTCTGTCTTTTAAAAGACTTCATAAATGATTGTTAATGGTTCTGATAAATGTGATTTTAATATAAGAAAGAACACCTTTAATACATAATGGAACCTTCCACACCTAAGTTTTTTCTTTTAAAAGACTTTATAAATATGATTTAAAAAAGACAAAACACTTCATAAATATGATTGACAAAACACTTCATAAATATGATTGATATAAGACAAAACATCTCTGATAAATAGTGGAAACTCCCACCTCAGAACATAGCAACTACACATGCTTGTTCAAGAATTTTCAATTTTTAATTGACTATAAATGTTATCTTATTTTAATAGCGGGATAGCACTGATAGTGCTCTGATAGAGGCTAGCTGTGTTCTTGTGTGCAAGACAGATGCATGCGATAGTCAGCGATGTTGCAAGCCTAAATCAGAAGATTAAAGTCAAGGTCAACGGAAAGCATCTGCGGTAGTTGCTAGTCCAAAGGCCAATGGTATTGCAGATAGTGCTAGTATAATCTTGGAGAACAAGGTATGAAAAGGCAGTTAGCATGACTTGTGTTGCATGCAAGCATATGAATCGCCTGGCATTGCACGATTTTGAATTTTCGATTAATGAAAGATTTAAACGTGAACTCTATGGATTCAAGAGGTACAGTAATCTTTCTGTAAGATAGGAAAGTCATTTTAGATTTGATAAAATGTTGATTTTAGATTTCATAATTTCTATGTTCATTCAAAAATACTAATTTTGTATGTTTGTAGTAGAATAAATAAATGTAATTAGTTATATTAGTTTTACCAGGACAGGTTCTGGATTTTCCACCTTGGACATTTCTGTTAAGTAGTTGTTGTTGATCATTTGAGGTTCTTGAGTCTAATTAGTTTGAACTTTGTGAATGTAAGGTGATGTCAAGAAGATGACTATGTTTCGGTATGCATCTAATTAAAATCAAACATATTGGTAATTGATTATGAATGAAATACATATATTCAAAAATATATATACGTGTAATGTAAATATGCTCACAATATATTTAATTTTTTTGACGAGTCCTTTTGATCCTGCTGGATCCTCTTTGGCTTTAACATACTCTGACTAACTGCGCATCCCAACGTTGGAATCGTGGATTCCAAGCTGAATCCAAAATTCCAACGTTGGGATTGGAAGATTCACAAAGAAAATGCTATACCGTAAAACCTTGAATTGAAGCCCTGAGCTTTTTTTTTTTTTGTAAACTTTGGATGTGTTTCTTTTGAAGATGGGCTTCATTTTGAGGCTAATTTTGTAAAGTAAAGAGGGTGGGGGGGATCTTCTTTTCAAAATGAATGCTTTAAATGTTTGGAATTACAGTACTACTGTACTATAAAGCAATAAATAGGGCTACTGTAACATCAATCTGCATCGAGTAGTGTATTAACCAGCATTGAATCGTCTAAACTACAGTACAAACAAGTGTATTTTTTATCTACGGTATAAGCCAAGCCTTTCCGGAGTGTCGAGTGTCAATCAAGCACAACAAGTGACCAATCAGCCTGCTTTATAAAAAAAAACCAAGGCCACTGTACTTCAGCCTAAGCACGAAAGAAAGTGAATGTTGTGGCTGGGCACTTTTACTGCATAGTGTAGTACTGTATGTGAGCCAAATGGCCGAGCGGTTAAAGCAGGGGCACCGTGATCACAGCCAACAATCTCGGCACAGGTTCGCGGCCGGCTTGCTCCTATAGTTCTGGTGGTGGAACAAGTCTTCTCGGATAAGGACTATAAACCTTAGGCCCAGTGTACACAAATGCTCATGTGCACTTTAAAAAACCCAGTACATCTTTCGAGATGAGTAGGGGGGGCTACCCCGGTGTACTGGTTCATTCGGCCCCTGTCGTGGACAGATGAAATGGCGCCGGTTTACTGGCTGCTGAAGACATGGGGAGGAGAAAGATATTGTAAAGTGCAACATCTAGCCCCGAGCGCATAGAGACCATGTATTATGCGCTGTATAAGTATCCAACCATTACCATTATATGCAAGGATTTAATTACAACTAATGACCAGAATTGAATTAAAAATATATGGATTGAAACCAAAGTTATTGAGAACTTGGACCACTTAAAATACCTCAAAAACTTACGAATACCTGCCAACGTGTTTTGTTTATAGTTCTTTTTGGGTGTTGTTTCATGAGGCCCTCATGTTAATAATGATAAGAATATGTGTATGTATTTTGTGCATAATGAATGTATGAGTTATATTACTTGATAATCATTATATGTTAATAATATGTTTGGACATCCTTATCAGATTTGATTGCAGTAATTGCAGTTGTTAGTTATTCTTGTTAAGTAAAAATAGATAGGATAAACCAAGGCAATTCAACAACATGAACATAGCATGTGCGTAGGTACAGTCATTTGATCATAATTGTGGCATCGACAATTTTAGCGAGTCGAGTGGCCAAGCGGTAAGGCAGGGGCGCCGCTAGCTACAGCCTTTAACATTGGAGCTGGTTCCAGCTGCTCCTCGCCCATGGTTCGGTTGGTAGAACCAAGTCTTCTCGGATAAGGACTTAAAATGGAGATCCAGTGTATACATCTGGCTCGTGTGCACTTTAAACAACCCATTGCATCTTTCAGA